ACGACGACCACGCCGACGTCGTCGTCGTCGGCTGGGGCTGGGGCGGTCTTGGGCCCTCTTGGGGCTTGCACAATTTGGACATGTCCAAATTGTCTTGGCCGCCGGTTCTTGAAGCTTCGGCGGGGGGCTATCGATTTCTTCTGGGCGGCGCAGCGGGCGGCACCTTGAAGTGTCCCACGGCGCCCGGACAATTTGGACACCCATGTCCAGTTCGTCCGGGGACGGTTCGGGCCCTCTTGGGGCCATCTTGGGGCCATCCTGGGGCCAATTTGGGGGGTCGACCCCTGAAATAAAATTAGTACACAGGACTGAGGGCTCCAGGGACCTGAGGACTGAGGGCTCCAGGGACATGATGATGATGACGACGATGATGGTGATAATGGTGGTGGTGATGACGACGTGGGAAATGATGAGGAATATGATGAGGAAGAAGAATACGGAAGCGCCGGTCTGAGCACTTCATGGGCCCGACCACCTGGAGTGGTAAGTGTTGCTGCTGCTTTTCCCCAGGGTTCTGGAGCCCTCGGGGCCTTGGGGGGCCCCAAAACGGATCCGAAGCCTCAAGTTCTTTCCGGCTCACGACAGGCGACCCGCGACGACGACGACGACGACGGGCATGAGTTATTTGGCGCCCCCCCTTGAGAGCATCGGGTAACTGGGGGGTGCGTTCCACACCCCCCACTTACCCGGTGCCCCTCGGGGGACATCGGGTAACTCGACTTTGCGGGAGGGAGTGCTGGGCACGAGTTACTTGGTGGCAAGGGGGGGGCATCGGGTAACTCGACCATGCACGGGGGGGTGTTGGGCATGAGTTACCCGGTGTCCCCTGGGAGACATCGGGTAAGCGGGAGGTGCGCTCCACGCCCCCCACTTACCTGGTGCCCCCCAAAGGGCATCGGGTAAGTCGACTTTGCAGGGGGCGCATTCGGCATGATTCGGTGTCCCACGCGAGACATCCGAGTTACCCGGTGGTCCCCGGGGGACATCGGGCAACTCGACCCTGCAAGGGGGGCTGGATATGAGTTACCCCGTGGTCCCCCGTGGGATATCGGAGTCACCCGGATGTCCCCGTGGGACATCAGCCCGTGGGACATCGGAGTTACCCGGTATCCCCCGTGGGACATCGGAGTTACCCAGAAGTTCTCGTGGGACACCGGCCCGTGGGACATCGGCGTTACCCGGTGGTCCCCGGGGGACATCGGGCAATTCGACCTTGCAGGGGTGGGTCTGGGCATGAGTTACCCGGTGTCCCCCGTGGGACATCGGAGTTACCCGGTGGTCCCCGTGGGACATCAGCCCATGGGACATCGGAGTTACCGGGTGTCTCCCGTGGGACTTCGGAGTTACCTGGTGGTCTCCGTGGGACATCAGCCCGTGGGACATCGGAGTTACCCAGTGTCCCCCGTGGGACATCGGAGTTACCCAGTGTCCCCCGTGGGACATCGGAGTTACCCGGTGGTCCCCGGGGGACATCGGGCAATTTGACTTTGCAGGTGGGGGTCTGGACATGAGTTACCCGGTGGTCCGGGTGGGACATCGGAGTTACCCGGTGTCCCCGGTGGGGCATCACGACGACGACGTCGACGACGACGACGACGACGGCAATTTTCCCATGTGTTTTTCCCGTGCGGCCCCCCGTGATGAGTCAAAAACCCATAGGAATTTCAACATTTTTGCGTTGGAGCCTTTGCCTCGGCGCGTTGGCGGTGAATGCGCGCGACAAGCGCTTTCGGTCGCAACGTACAAAAACCATAGATTGGTTTGCCCGTTCAGGGGGGCCGCACGGGAAAAACACATGGAATTCGACGACGACGACGACGACGACGACGATGAAGGACGACGACGACGACGACGACGACGACGACGACGACGACGACGACGACGACGACGACGACGACGACGACGACGTGACGACGACCTCTTGGAGCCGTCTTGGGGCCGTCTCTGTGCCCTCTTGGAATCGTCTGGGTGACCGACCTCGGGGTTTCATTGGGATCGTTTTGGGGCCCCCTTGGAGCCGTCTTGGGGCCCTCCTGGGCTTTTCCCAGGGCCCTCTGGCGGAGCCCAAGAAGGCCCCGAGAAGGCTCCAAGAGGGGCCCAGTAGTTATGTACCAACCGAGGGTCCGCTGGTACATAACTCCTGGGCTTCTCTTGGGGCCATCTTGGGCCCCTCCTGGAGCCGTCTTGGGGCCCTTTGGTGGCCCTCTCGGGTGCTTCTCAGGGCCCTCGAGGGCCCTCTGGGCCCCCAGAGGGCCCCAAGACGGCTCCACGAGGGGCCCAAGATGGCCCCGAGAGGGGCCCAGTAGTTATGTACCAACCGAGGGTCCGCTGGTACATAACTCCTGGGCTTCTCTTGGGGCCATCTTGGGCCCCTCGTGGAGCCGTATTGGAGCCCTCTGGGGGCCCTCTCGGATGCTTCTCAGGGCCCTCGAGGGCCCTCTGGGCCCCCAGAGGGCCCCAGGACGGCTCCACGAGGGGCCCAAGATGGCCCCAAGAGGGGCCCAGGAGTTCTGTACCAACTGGGGGCCCGCTGGTACCTAACTCCTGAGCTTCTCTTGGGGCCATCTTGGGCCACTCCTGAAGCCGTATCGGGGCTCTCTGGCAGCTCGCTCGGGGGCTTCTCGGGGTCCAGATGGAGGAAGAGGAGGAGGAAGATGATGGGAGGCAGGACGAGCTGCAGGAGGAGGAGGAGGAGGAGGAGGCAGAGGATGAGGAGAGGGGAGGAGGAGGAGGAGGAGGAGGAGGAGGAGGAGGAGGAGGAGGAGACGGACGAGGAGGAGGAAGAGGAGGAGGAAGAGGACGATGGCATCAATTTTATGCACAAGAACTGCCACCATCCAGAGGTTCAGAGGAGGAAGAGGAGGAGGAGGAGGAGGAGGAGGAAGAGGAGGGAGGACCCCCCAGAGTCTGGGGGCGGCCCTGAGTCTGAACAGCACTTGTTTCAGGAAGCTTCAGATGGGAGGGAGAGATACAAGGAGTTGGGGGAGCCGCATGGGGTGTGGTGAGCCTCTGGCCCGCATCGTGTGCCGGTGACGCAAGGGTGCGGCAACCTTCTCCGCATATGGTTTTGTCGCGCATCTCCTGTCGTTCCCAAATGGCTTTCCCGCCGCAGCAAGGGCCTCGATTTCGGATCGGGACTGCGCCGCCGTAAGGCCAAGAAGCGAATGTGCGAAACTTGGACGTTTCCCTTAGGGAACGGGCCGATGTTTGCTTCTGGAGGCCTCTTGGGCCGCGTCCTGGTGGCGTGTTGGGGCGTGCAAGGGGTCTCAGGGGCTGCGTGAAAGGCCAAGATGCGAACGTGTTGGAAATATGTTCTTTCCATCGAGAATGGGACGATGGTTACTTCTGGAAGGCTTCTTGGGACGCCTCTGGGTAGCATCTTGAGGCGTCTTGGGGGCCTTCAGGGCTGTCGGGAGGCCATGTTGGACGACTTGGTGCACTTTTGAACGACTTGGGCCGACCAGGACGCATTTTACGAACCCTCTTGGCCCGTCTTGGGGCCCTCTTGGGACTGTCCTGCGGCTCCCCAGGGCCGTTGTTATGTTTTCTGGGGCCTTCGTGAGGCGCCCAGAGGCCGTCTTGGGATCCTTTTGAAAACTTCCGGGGCTGTAGGGGGTCGATGTTGGATGCTTCTTGGGCCGTTGTAGGCGGCGTGGAAGCCCAAGAGTCGAAAGTGCTGAAAATTTATGTTTTCCCTAGGGGATGGGACGGCTTTTGCTTGTGGAGGCATTCGTGGAGCGCCTCGAAGTAGTTTTTTCAAACGTGTCGGAGGCCTATGGGGAATCATCTGCAGGCAAGCTGGGGCGGTTTGGACCGAATCGTCCCCCTCGTGGGCCGTCCAGAAGGCCTTTGGGAACCTTTTTTGCTCGTTATGGGGCTCTCGTGGGACCCTCCTGCGTTTGTCCTGGGCCGTTGCTGTGGTTTCTGAGGCCGGCGTGGTGCGCCCGGAGGCCGTCGTGGAGCCTCTTTGGGAGCCGCTTGGGGCATCGGGGGTCAAAGTTGGAGGTTTATTGGGCCGTTGTGGGCCTCGTGGAAGCCCAAGAGGTTCGGGGGTGGACAGAACCCCCATTAGTGACACGTCGATTAGTGAATTGTCCGTTTTCGGTTCTCGAGAGGGCGCCGTGGCCGTTATTTTCCAGGCTTGCGCCCGCCAGGTTTGGGCCTCAGGTCGTTTTCACTAAACCACGTTTTACTAAAGGGGGGTCTGTCCATCCCCGAGAGGTGAATGTACTGAAAATGCTTGTTTTCCTTAGGGAGTGGAACGATTTGTGCTTGTGGAGGCCCTCTTGGAGCGCCTCATGGACGCGTTTTCAAACGTCTTGAGGGCTCATGGGGCCGTCTGGAGGGAATCTTGGGCGGTTTGGACCGAATCGTCCCCCGCGTGGGCCGTCTGGGCAGCCTTTGGGGACCCTGTTGACCCGTTTGGGAGCCCTCTTGGGACCGTCCTGCGGCCATCCCGGGCCGTTGCTATGGTTTCTGGGGCCTTCGTGGATCGCCTGGAAGCCGTCGTGGAGCCTTTTGGGGAGCTTCTTGGGATGCGGAGGGTCGATCTTGGAGGCTTCTTGGGTGGGCCGTCGTGGGCCGCGTGGAAGCCCAACAGTCGAATGTGCTGAAAATGTACGTTTTCCCTCTGGAATGGGACGATTGTTGCTACTGAACCTTCGCGGGGCGCCGCCTGGAGGCAATCTTCCTCGTTTTGGAACGATCCCTCGTCGACTCGTAGCTCTCTTGGACCGTTCCGGGACCCTTTTGACCTTTTTGGCTCGTTTTGGGGCCTCCTGAGGCTCCAAGTGTGCGGCCGGGACCTTTGCCCCCCACCCCCCACCCCCCTCCAAACTGGCCAGACCAGGCCCCATGGGGAGGGGTTTGGAGAGAGGGAAGCATCTCACACGCCGTGAACCCAAGGGGTCGGGGGATTTCTTACAGCAAGACTTCTGATCGTATGTGTCTACTGCGAGTGAATATACCCATCCCGCCGCGTTTCTGTCGAGAGCCGCGAGGCCCTACACCTCGCCCAAGGGCCTCCGCCACCTGGACTACCTGCCCGACCCGCCTGGCTTCTACTTGAACAGGATCTCGGGAGCGAGAGAGGGCGCCAGTGTGGGTGGACGTTCAGGCCGTTGTGAGGCAGGAGTGTCAGACATGCCCAGCAGGAACTGGGGACGATGTGTTGACTTCTCGGAGGGCCAGTTTGGGGAACCAGCGAGCCAGCGCGATATTTCTAGGGAACGGACGTGGAGTTGGCTTGATACCGAAAGGTTCCCCAGTCCGGTTTGTCCAGAATCGTTGTCTTGTGACCGAAACGTCCTCGCAGAGTAATGTGGTTGAATGTGATAACCAAAAGCTCATGAGTACGTCAAAGTTTCGTGGCGCACCCTTTCTTCTGGCACTTCTCCAGCCCCTCGAGGACGCGCGAGTGGGCAGACAAGTACAGGGCCTCAGCATGTGCTGGGTGAGCTGGGAGCCGCGCCCGTGGCCGCAAGGACGGGGGAGGCGTTGGCTAGTCTCAGGCCAACAGCCAGGCTCGGGTAGTCTTGTGCCGCGAGCTGACAGACCACGTTGAGCACAAAAATGTATCCTCACGGCGGGGCCCTCCTCCAAACGGTGTACGTTTATGCAAGACTTCCCTCGAGCCTTGGAGCTGAGTTTCTCGAGTACCCGGATGCAGCCAGACGCCTTGAGAGATGTACCGGCACACGCGGGCACCTCAAGACGCGCACGTTTGTTGGGAGATATGTCCCCCATGCTTGTCGCAAACTTGTCAGTACTAGCGTTGGCTGTAGGGCCACTCTGATCAGGGCGACGGCTCTTGACAACCGATCCGCAAGCCCCGTCGCCGCGCGCCAGTGGCCCGGGCGTACCCAGGCCACCATTGCCGCTGAGATCAGGGGATTGACATCCAAAGCCTCAGAGGCGATAGCCATACAATTTACACCTTGTGGACAGAGCCAGATTAGCCAATCTGGTGTTGTGGCATCTCAACGCTAATGGTTTTCCACCGCAACACCGGCCCCACGGTTAGTTTAGAAATGTTGGGGGTCACAGCCAAGGGCGGCCGAATCAAACGGCAGTCACCCCACACCAGGGCGCCACGAGAGGGCCACGGGCCACTGAATCGCATCACCACGCTGACCCTGCACATACAGGGGGGTCCCCGAGAGGGTCAAAGGCTACTGGCCAGTAAGGCGCATGTTGATGCTCGCATCTCACACACACACACTCAAACACACGCACACGCACGCACATTCACCACACACACACACACATTCACCACACACGCACACACACATATATATATATATATATATATATATATCGACATACATATATATATATAAATATATATATATACATTTGTGTATGTATGTATATATATACATACATATATTCACCACACACATGTTTGGCGGTAGCGGCCTCGCGCGCGGCGACGAGGCGGAGAACTCGTACAGACACGGCGCGCGGCGGCCGGGTCCTCAAGCATCACTGAGGATGCGGTCCTTCCGACATCAGCCGTCCCGACGCGGACAGCGGGGAGGGCACACGCAATACCGTGGGCGATGCTCTCACGGCAGCGTGAGGCAAGGAGAGCGGCGTCGGCTATCCGGGCGCGGGTCTCGGGGTGGGGGTTACACGCAGTACCGTGGGAAGGACCCACGCGGCAGAATGAGAAAAAAAGGACGGCAAACGGCCATCGACCGTGGAGGGCAGCGAGGCGCGCGGATCGAGGGGCTGCCCCAACGGCGGGCGCAAAACAGAAACCAGGAGAAAGGCTCAGCGAAGCCGAGCAGAGTGCAGTGCGCGCCAGAGCGCGACGGCAAGGGGAGGTGCCACGCACGGTGTCCAAATTGGGGCACAAGCCCGACGGCAGCAGAGCGGCGAGGCAGGATCTGACGCCGAGGCTGCCACCCCCGCCCACCTGCGAGGCGGGAGGCGGGCCGCTTGCGCGAGGGAGCGGCTCCGCCGCCAGGCACTGGAGGTCCGGCGCGGGACGGTGCAGATGAGGAAGCGAGGCCGAGGATGTCGGGAGGAATGGTATGGACGAACCGCCCGAGAGCTTCAGAGGAGAGGTCGGCAGGTGCGGCATCATCGCTGATAAGATGTTTGCAGCCATTGCGCAAACAGCAAGGTGGTCCTTCACATCGTACGACGGACGGCCGAACCTGTCCAATCTCCGCCAAACCGGGGGCTGACCTGTGCTGCCAAGCGGTGGTACATTGAGCAGGGCTCCGGAGGGCCTGCAAGTGTGCTGGGCATGGACGCAGTGCGTGCCCTCGGGGCGGCGGAGGCACATCGGTGCGGCGCGCCCCAGCCGCCTGGCTAGCGGCGGGGAGGGCCGCGGCGGGTGGCGGCGGCATGGGAGAGGGACTGGGCGTGGCAACGCGCGGCGCTGCTCTGCGGCTGGCCGCAGGCCGTGCGCCGATGGAGCTGGGCTTGTGTGCGGAGACTCCGCCGTCGCCGCCGAGCTGGCCGTCGGGCGGCGGTGGCGGTGGACCCTGGACGGAGGTACTGAGCGGCCGGCGCTCCGTCACCTCAGGCCTGCCACGGCGCGCACTGGGACAGGGGCGTCGTTGGACACTGGTGCCGCCGCCACAGAGCCGCGGCGTCCACCCTGAGGAGTACAAGCGACCGCTGGCCGATCCGCGGCGGGCGGGCTGGCCGCCTGAGCGGGCTTGGGGGTTCCGCAGGGGGAGGTGTGGCCGCGGCTTCTGCCTTGGGGAGCTCGCGGGACTTGTGGGCGCTCTGCTGTCCAGCGGGCTCGTGCGCCCTAGCGTTGCCTTGTGGCGGCTGGCAAAGCGGTGGGGAGCCTTATGGAAGGAGATGGTCTCGTCGGGAGACGTGCCAGTCGATTTGCCACGCCAGGTGGGTCTAGCGGATAGTAGGCGGGGAGCGCCAATTGGCTGCGGATAGTCAAGAGACACTGTACGCTTGTGCGGCGCCCTGGCGGAGCGGGACTTGGATGCGGGAGGATTGGAATCGGCCGCACCAGAGTTGCCCAGCCCGCTCCAGCGTGAGCGGGCTCTAAGCGCAGCGGGGTTGCCCATTGCTGCGGCCTCGCGCCCTGTGGAGGATGCGCTGCTCGCAGGGCGCTCCGCGTCCCACAGGGGTGCGCGAGAATGAGAGCCGCGACGCCTCGTGCAGCTGCGGGCGAGGGCCCTCTTGGTGTCACGGTCCATCTTGTGCCAGCCGCGCAGGCGGTTCTCATGCCACGCGGCGCAGAGACTGTTGAGGAGCCTAGTCTGGAAGAGCTTCGGATCATTGCGGAAGAAGGGCTTTCCAGGAGAAGCAATGGAGTAGAGAAAATTCGTCCAGACGTCTGGTCCACCCATGGCCTGGTGATCTCGTTTATGCGCTGCAGCAGCGCAGCAGGAGGAAAGGCGCTAGCCGCCACGTACCCGCGGGGCTGCCCCGATGCAGGCACGTGGGCAGCAGGTTCGCATTTCTGAGGGTCGCCTTGGATGGCTGAGGTGCGCCCCAGAAGCTCGCGCCAAAGCTGGAGACAGGCAGCCGAGCGTCGTCGTCATCACCCTCGGGCGCTTCGCTGCTGACAGGGCCGCCGGCGGGGCTTGCGCGGCCTCCCCCTGCCCCGTCGCTCGTGAGAAAAGTCGCCAGAGGGGGAGCCCGTCGCCTGTGGAGGGCGCAAGTTGGCTGAGCGAGTCACGGAGTCGGACACGCGGGAGGCGCTGCAAGCCGGCGGAGGCGGCGTCGTGTCTGCGGTGCGCGGAGCGGCCTCCAGAGCGGGAGGACTGCCCGTCCAGGCTGCCACTGGAGCAGCTGGCCAGCGCCGGCGGCAGGCCCGCAGCGGCTGGCCGAGCTCACTCCCACGCTCGCTGCTCGCTGGACGGGACGGGGAGAGCTCGACGCCGTTGGGGACCCGGAGAGGCCAGCCAGCGTCGGTGAGGCGCTGCAGGACTGCTGGCAGGACCTCAGCGGAAGCGGTTTCAGCATCTTGCGGCAGCGAGGGCGGCGGCCAGGGCGCCGTGGCAGGTGGCCACGCAGCGCGGGGGAGGGGCGGCTGACAGCGGTCGCGAGCCGGCCCGAGAGGGGCCCGCAAAGAGGGGGGCACACATGGGGCCACGAGGATACGCCAGCCCCAGGCTCATCGCATCTCGAAGTTTCCGCGCACCCTTGTTCTGATGGCGGGAGTCTGCCGCAGGCTTCAGCCAGGTTCCACTCCAAAGAGCGCAACGAGAGAGAAAGAGAGAGAGAGAGAGAGAGTGGTATTGTTTTGTATGCATTTTGCCTTGGTTCAAGCGTGGAGTCATTTATCATCCGCGTGCGTACTACGTTGTCTGCGTGCACGCATCAAGAATTTGTCCTCGTCCTGCCCGTAGCCTGGGCTGCTCTCCCCACCCATCCTCCTCTCATGCTCCGTGCCTTTTATGCTGTTCCGTGGTTCTTTTCATTCCCCTTCCCCTTCCCAGATCGAGCGCACACGCAATGCTCCAATCGCAAGACGTGAAGACCATTTCGGTTCAGCATGCAAGCAACCGTTTTGAAGGATCTGCTGGGTCAGGATGATCAGCCTTTCAATTAGCAATGTTGCTCGTTCCCTAGATGATCCTCCCGCGAATTTCCCGACATATGTACAGGCTGTTCTTTCGCTTTGCAGTCTAGACCAATGGGACCAGAATTCGGCCAGCATTTGAACTTATATCGGGCCGCCCAACTTACGTTCGATCGTTCCGCTCGTCGGAATCCGACCCAAGGTACTTCGTTATGTTACCACGCCTCTGGTTTTGTAGGTACCTCCTGCCCTCGACTTGGTTCGGTCCGATTTCATCATCAATTCGATCAGTGCTAAATTTCCGTTTCAGTATGGTCACCCATGAATGTTTGATTCGTGCATTTGGGCACGCTCAGCTGGTCGTTGGCTGCAGAGTCGTCTCCGGCAGATGGCTGCAACCTGGGACCTGTTTGGAGTTTGTTCGTGCCAGATCTGCCCGCGGGTCTCCCAGGGACCAGATTTGCCTTCCGAAAGGGCAAAAATCGGCAGCAGACTTGCTCTTGCTGCAATCCCTCCCCCTGAGATCCAGCAATGCGAAAAATAGTTGAATCGCAAAGAAGCACGACTGGAGCCCCCGACCCATCTGAGTGATGCAGTATATTTTTCGAGCGGGATCGATCCGGGATGGCCCTGGGGCCCGAGATTGCGAGAACGACATGTGTGAAAGATTGCAACGCCCAGGTCGCAGGGAGAGGCCCATTCTTGTTGTGACCCCTCGCCGCGCGACCCCGATGGCGGAGTGGTGCCGTCCCGAGCCGAGCCCATCGCGCGCGGCCGGGCGCCTCGCGCCCCTGGAGCCTCGCTCGGCTCGCAGCCAGCCGCTGCCGTGCGGCCGGGGAGACCCAGGGCTGGGGCGGCTTTCCGAGAGAACGTTGAGGCTGGGAGTCTGGTCGGGGGGTGGTGCTCCAAGCGTGGGGGTCAGAGGAGGAAAATATACCGATGCCGCTACCCTTCCCTCGTTTTGGCTTTTCTTGACGCCTTCAGGGAGGCCCTCGTTGCCACGGCCGCACTCTGTTTGAAATCCGGGTTCAATAACGCACCCCAGAAGAGGTCCGGGGAGCAGCGGCATCGGTATTTTTGTTGTCCCCCCAGGGGATGAAAATGGATTGTCTTTCGGGAGCGTAGGGTGGTTTGATCGCGAAAGAGGTGGTTTTGACGGGTGTAAAGGGAAAGTGGAGATTGAACGGGCCGTCGAGCGGTCCATGCGGATTTCGGGCCAGGATACTTTGGAGTCCGTCGCAAGAGCTCCTGGGAGAGAGTTCCAAGCCGGTGCTGTATCTCATGTTTGTCTTGTTGTGTCTATATATCCCTCTCTATTTCTCTTGTTCATATCTTGTTTCTCTCTCTTTCTCTTTTTCTCTTTTTTCTCTCTCTCTCTGTCTCTCTCTCTATATATATAGATCTCTCTCTCTCTCGTTGTGTGAACATATACAATTATATGTATATATATATACATATATATATAGTCATGTATATGTGCGTATGCGTGCTCACATGAAACTTGGACACGAGGGTGCATATGTAAGTATATGACCATGGCCTCCGGCCAGTGCCGCCGATCCGGGGCGTTCGGGATTATGATGATCATACACGAGTGTGTATCTATATATACATATACATATACATATACATAAACATATATACATATACATAAATATATACATGTACATATACCGTACAGACCAGACCGGTGTACAATTATATATACATATATACATATAAATATATATATATATATATATATATATATATATACACATTGAGGTGGCACACGGGGTTCCCCAAAAGGCCTGAAGACGAAGACGCTATTTGAAGACGCTATTGGCCAGGGGCGGTCGAGCGGGTGAAGACGCTAATCGCTTTGAAGACGCAATTGCGCAACCACAGGGTGAAGACGCAAATGCGCTTGAAGACGCAATTCCGTTTGAAGACGCAAATGTGCTTGAAGACGCTATTCCCGGCGAGGATCCCCATTCCCGGGGAATATGACGCTATTCCCGGCGCAGACGCTATTCCCGGCGCAGACGCTATTCCCGGCGCAGACGCTATTCCCGGCGCAGACGCTATTCCCGGCGAAGACGCTATTCCCGGCGAAGACGCTATGCCCGGCGAAGACGCTATTCCCGGCGCAGACGCTACTTGGAAGGGTGGGGTTCTTATCAACCTTTGCACTATGTATATGTCGTTAGCAACTCCTGGCAATGCTCTAGCAATGCCTACTGACCCACAAGCAAGTTCAGCCAAGTACTTCGAAGACCGCCTAGCTCTTGTAATATGTGCCAGGTTGTTCAATGTAGTGTACATTGTATTCAACATGTTACTTTGGTTACAACGGTAGTACAACTGTTGTATGGCGTTGATAAGCTAGTTACTTGCGTTTGAAGCGAGTTGCTATAACTTTACTCATGCGTTAACATCTTGTTGCAAACTCATACCAACATGTTGCTAAGTTCTAGATAACCTATGTTATCATATTTACTAGCATAGGTTAGTAACATTCCCAATAGCGTTACTAAGTGCGTTAAGACGTTGCTTCAAGCGCGCGGGGGTATCTGAAAGTCTCTTACACTGCGGGGTGACACAAGGCATTTGCGGAATATCGTTCCTCCGTGTTACTCCACCCTGCTCCTCCTTAGCCGTTTTGGCTGGTGGCTCATACAGGTGTGCGTACACGCAAACATGGCCACACAAGTTGATCTCGCCATTGAGAAAGTGACTCCTGATGTGGAATCTTTGTTGTCCGCTTATAGACAAGATGGTAAGCACATCCGTTGCTTCGACGGCCTGATGGATGTTTTCTCTAAGTTTCCAGACCTCAAGTGGACAATGCAGATGCAAAGCAAATACGTTGCGTGCCACAACCTCAACAGGGGCACGCTAGGCGTGTTGATGGGCGAGGCCTTGATTACAGCATCCAAGAATATAGCAGATGGGTATTCATTTAAAAGGGCGTGTGACGGTTGCTACGCTGTACAGTGCCCGCCTGGGACTGACATCATGAAAGAAACGCTGGCGTTCAATAACAACCTATGTGAAGTGTATGGGCTGCCTCGGTACGAGACCATATATGCAGCGACGTTTGGGGGGTCACACTCTACGTACTTTCTCAATGCAGTTCACGCCCAGCTACCATGTGATATCACAAGCATCGCCCCTTCGGGTAAGTTGGACCCCAGGGAATTGAGCAAAGTGCATGGTTTAGACAGGGCCTTGAAAGAGGGCCTGATTTACACGGTAATATCCCACAAGGTGGTTGAGAAGTGGCCCGATGTCGTGCGCGTGGCCTATGCTGCTTTGAATACGACGGGTATGGGTGGATCCACTGAGATGGAGGGTATGATGACGATGATGAGTACGTTCAAGCAGGCCACGGACAATGGCAGGTCAGAAGACGTGGCGTGGAAGGCAGCGGTGTCGACGGCAACCATGACCAAACCATTTTGGGCTGGATGGTCGATGTCACTACAGCGAGTGTGCAAGGTGACAACGGATGATCACATGAAGGAGGCTCGCGACATGGTGGCATCTCTGTTGAAAGTACCTGCAACGGCAGCTCCCAACCACGGTTATTGCGGAGGTAGCTTCTTGGACAAGATTGCTTCTATGTGTTGGAAGAAAGAGCTGTGCGACTTCAGCAGGGTTCGTATCGCCTGCATGGTGGGCCAAATGTTATCACCAGTGCACAAGATCATAGATGGACGAGCTAGCCTCATCAAGGACGCTCAGCTCACCAAGCTTCTCAACCCGAAGAACATCGAGGAGGTGAGGTTCGCCGAAAAAATGCTCGACGATGCCAGGGAGTTGTGCAACACGTACAACGTGGACCAGGGCCGCAGGGCCAAACTTTTGTGCGGGCACGATACCAGAATCGTGTACCATATCTTGAAGGTGACGCCCTTTTATTCTCCTCCTCCTCCTCCTACTCCTCCTCCTCCCTCCTCATCCTCCTCCTCCTCCTCCTCACCTCAAGGTCGGCAATCAATCGCGCGAGGCTGTTGCGTACGGCGACTTGCCTCGCGCAGGGCAGGTGTTCATCAACGACTTGTCGGCGCTGATCGGCCAGGAGGTGGAGAACCCTTGGAAAGAGCCAGTGCCCGAGGACCAAACCTTCCAAATCATCCCCTCGCTCGTCCTCCGACTCCTACTCCTACTTTGGGGTGCTCGTTTTGGCGAACAGTTGGGGGAGAGAAGAGAGTAGTATTCATATTGATTAATTGTGGAGGAGGGGGGGAGGGAGGAGGAGCAGGAGGAGGAGGAGGAGGAGGAGGGGGGAGGAGGAGGAGGAGGAGGAGGAGGAGGAGGAGGAGGAGGAAGAGGAAGGGGAAGAGGAGGAGGAGGAGGAGGAGGGAGGAGGAGAAGGAGGAAGAATAGAAAAACGGGGGGCGTGAGGAACCGCAAAACGATGGGCGTGAGGAGCTTGAGCGGCGTGCAGGCACAAGAATTCTTACATCACGAGATGCGCTACGAGAACAAGTAAAGTGCCAAAACGCCATGCTCCACGAGAACTGGTAAAGCGTCAAAACGCTATGCGCCACGAGAACAAGTAAAGTGTCAAGGAGAGGGGGGGGAGAGGGGAGGGGGAGGGATGGGAGGAGAAGGCAAACGACCTTAAACACCCCAGAGGAGGAGGAGGAGGAGGAGGAGGAGGAGGAGGAGGAGGAGGAGGGCCCTCCCGAGCGACTCCCCCTCCTCATCCCCGTGCACCCCTCCTGTCATCGGCCTCCACCGTCAACAGTTCGTCCTTTTTTGTGGCACCTTCGCCAGGATGAAATTCCTGAATATGGTGTTCCCGATCCAGCTGGGGGCGATCCCGCTCCAGCTGAAGGTGCTTCGGGCTCTGCTGGGCCAAGTGCTGGACCGACTGCAACGTCTGCAGCTACCCCGCACAAGCCTATGTCCCTGCAGTCCGCCGAGCAATCGAAGTCTCCGATGTACCAGCTCCGTGTGCATGGGTTTACGGAGGGAGCGTATGTCAAGCGCAAGAAGCCTCAGGATGACAAGACTGAGCACGGCACCATATATATGATTTCTGCAATGAATGATTCATCAGTGGTGTTGGCCCCTACTGGTAGGTTCAGAGAGTTCCACACGATCACGTTGAGTCAACAAAGCTTGAAAGAGGGTTGGGCACCGACCACGACAAAGCCGCAGTTCCGAATCAGTTACGCAACATGCAGGCCAGATACCAACCCAGAGTTTGTTAAGCAGCACATCATCGGGCAGTTGATCGATGCGCTGGCTGGTTTATCTCAGAGATCACACAATTCAGGATTCATGGAGGAGCTGGATATCTTCTCGTCGCCGAATACAGTCACCGTGAGGGCCGACATCCCGAAGGACAAGCTGACTTTGGTACCAGTGACCATGAATATCAAAACGAGACCTGCTAAAGATAAATGTGACCCTAAAGCATGGGACCTTGGCACCATCACGTCGGACCCGAACACGACTGCCTACGCACTCCATCCTTGCATCGTGCTTCCCAAGGTGAAGGAGGATAAACCTGGATTCACCCCTCCGTATTGGTTTGTACAAGAAGCTGGGGAAGGCCAGAAGGGCAACATGGAGCTATTCTTGGAATCAATTCCGATTAGTACACCGAACGAGAAGGCTGAGGTAAAGGTGCCCGTGCTCAGGAACGCCGTCAGCCTCAAGACTGGAGATGAGCTGTTGATGGTGAAGCAGAAAAAGAAGCAGCAGGGACCGCCCGTGAAAAAGCCCAAGATCAACTGATTGGCATGTTCACGCATCGTCTTAAGGCCAGGCTGTTGAATGACCTGCAGGTTTCACTGCAGTTCGCCCCCCCTGCGATCGGGCTCTGACGTGCACGTCGGGTTGAGGTGGGCTGAGGAGGTGGAGGAAAACACACAGAGGAGG